GTGATTCCCGTGTGGAAGGCGGGGGAAGGGGAGCAGGGAGCCCCCAGTGCCCCCAGGCTGGCAGGAATGCTGCTCCAGGGGCTGCCCGGAGCCGGGAATATGGGAGGCTCTCCCGACCCTGCGCCCGCCCCAGGGTCCGGGCAGAATCCCTGCTCCACTACACATACTTTGTGTAAGAGCCTCCTTCGGTTTTGCTCCCAAACTGAGGGAGTATTTCCTAAGGATTTTGTGGATGCCCTGTAGAAAGTGCTGGAAAGGTTTGACGGGACGTGGCACAAAGCTGCCACTCCTAAATCAACACCTGCACCAAACTCGCGCTGTGCTGGTCGGGCAGGAGGAATTTGCTTTGTGACTCCTCATTCCACACAGAATCCCAGCTGTGCTGAGGAGGCCCTCAGGAGGAGTCACGCTGCTGTATCCACATCCTGATGACAGGATCCATGCTTTTGCCGGGGGGGTCTGCAAGAGCGATCTGCAGGATTCCTGACTATGAGGAAGTTGACATTAAAGAGAAGTTCTAAAAGCAGGCAAATCCCAGGGTGCTCAGCAGGTTCTCTTGGTAACAACTGCATCTGTGCATGCATGAGTGGTATTTTCCTCATTAAATTTCCCCAGAATTTGCATAAAAGCTGTGGCACTAGGAAACGTGGTTTGTCAAGAACTGATGAGAGGAGATGTCCGGTGCCCTGTGGGTGTGATGGACAAACATTTTTCCTGAGAGTTTCCTCCAGAGAGGCTGAGGAGTCTCCCTCACTGGAGATACCCAGAACTGTGTGGACACGATCCCATGCCCTGTGCCCTCTGCTCCCTGCTGAGCAGGAGTGGGAGCAGGGCACCCTCTCGGTCCTTTCCAGCCTGGCCCAGCCTGGCGTTCTGGGGATGCTTGGTCTGTGCTGCTCAGCCCCTTTCTCCCAGGCCACAGATGGATGTCTGGGGAGAAGCAGGAGAATGTGGCTCCTTGCCCCAGTGCACCCCAGGCCCCTTTCTCCAGGGGGATGCCCAGCTGGATGTTGTGCCAGGACACCCTCCTGCTGCTCTGGGAGGAGCTGGATGCCCTCAGCCAGGGCTCTTTAAGGAACCTAGAGCTACTGTTATCCCAGAATTTCCAAGTGCTCTCTCTGATGTTTGTTTCCTATTCCCACCCCAGGGTTATGAGTACATCCGGTCTGGGAATCCCACACGAGAATGTCTGGAAAAGGCCATGGCCGCCCTCGATGGAGCCAAATACTGTGAGCACCTCATGGGTTGGACGGGGCTTGGGGCAGCCTGGGACAGGGGGAGGTGTCCCTGCCCATGGCACTGGGTGGGCTTTGGGGTCCCTCCATCCCAAACCATTCCATGGATCTGTGACCATGGCTCTGGCTCTTGGCTGTGGGCAGGAGCAGCTCCAAGGTGGGGAAGAGCCTAACACTTCTGGCTCAGGAAATTCCAGCTCCATGCCTGGGTTTCTCTGCTGCTTCCTCACTGTGGCCGGGGCTGAGCTGGATCCATCCTTGTGCAGCAGCACTGGAGGCAGTGGGAGCAGGCAGCCCCTGGTCCCAGTCTGTCCCAGTCTGTCCCAGTGTCCGTGCTGGTTCCCTGCTGTGCACATCCATCTCCTGCTTTCACTGGCTCCACGTTCTCAGTGAGGCAGTGACAGAACAGGTTCTTCTCAGAGGCAAAGCAAGGAAGGCCAAGGCAAATCTGACTTCTTGTGTCACATCAAACACTGATGGTCCTTTCTCCTCCAGGTTTGGCTTATTCCTCTGGCTCAGCAGCTCTTTTGAACATCTGTCACCTGGTGAAGCCGGGGGACACAGTTATCTCCATGGATGACGTCTATGGAGGTGGGTACAGCATTCAGTGTCTTCAGCCTCCTTTGTGCAGGGGATCAAACCTGTCTGTGGCTCTCAGGAGCTCTGAATTTCCCCTGTGGGACGCCCCTGTCCTTTGAAGGCAGTTTTTATCAATCCCCTCTTCCTCACACTGCCCAGTGGCAGGGTGCACCCGGCCCTGCCAGAGTCCCTCAGCAGGGTGGGCTCACTGCAGTTCCTGGGAACTTTCCCCTGCTCCTTTCAGCCTCAGCCTGGGCTGGTTTCTGCAGGGGTGAATTTCACTGCTTCTCCTCCGCCTTGGTTTGTTATAAAGAAAGGGTTTCTCACAAGAGAACCTCCCAAGCATCTCTCAGATGTTTCCTTCAGCTGGCAGAACCCACCTCCATGTTCCAGCCCTTCATGCTCGGATGGAAAACTGAGTCCCTGGGGATCACCTGGCAAAAGGAGCTGATCAATAAATTTTTAATGCAGGCAGTGTTTCCTGGTAGTGAGTGCTGCACATCCATTGATCCCCGTTGCTGCTGGATTCTTTACATCTTTCCAGGGAAAGGCTTCAAGGACAGGAAGGAATCATTTTTATTGGACAGATGGGAATCAGTGGCTGGAGCCTTCCCCTTCATTCTTCTCTGTTTAATTTCCTGATTATAAACCCCACATTGATTTCAAGTACTTCCTAAATCACTCTCATCCCATATTTCCATTATTGCTATTTCATGATCATTAAATCTGCAACAATCTTTTAACTTTGTATAAATAGAGAAAATATAAATGTGCCATTTCTGGTGTGCAGCATAAGCTGTGCCCTCCTGAGTGTCCCTGCATGATGCAGGAGGCTGGAGAGCAGGGAGTGAACATTAAGGAACTTGTTTCATTTTTTTATTTTTGTTTCTTTTTAGGCACGAGGGAATTATTTGACAAACTAGAAAAGGATTATAATATCAAAGTTCGTTATGTTGACTGCACAGACCTAAAATTGCTGGAAGCTGCAATTGCATCAGATACCAAGGTAGGAGAGAGAGAAGTGGATTTTAGAGATGTTAAATTGCTTTATCCTTGCTCCTGCTGGATTTGGGGGTGTGTTGAGCTGAGGGGGGGCAGCTTGGGGCTCAGCTGGATCCACCATATCCCACGGTGCTGCCTCATGGAAAGCATCCTAAGAAGGGCAGAAAGCCCTGGAGAGAAAGGAGGGAAAAGGCAAACGGTGAGGAAGAGCAGAGGGAACACTGAGTGTGGAGCCGGGGGTGCTCCGTGGCACTGCTGGGTGATCCCCTGCTCCAGGGGACGGGAACTGTGCTGGAAAGGCTTTGGGAAAGGCTCTGCCCTGGCTGTGGGAGGCCTTCTCCAGCTGGGATGCACTGGGATGGCCCAAACCCAGCCCAGGGAAACCTCCCTGAGCTTGGAGGGACCAGCTGGAGCCTCCCCTGGCTCTGGCAGGGCCACTGCCCATCCCACTGCACCAACCCCACGGGGAGCTGCCACCACTGAACCCCCAGAGCCCCTGGGACTCAGCCCAGCCCTGGGACCTCCCTGACCTGCAGATTTTTGTGTTTGTGCAGCTGGTTTGGCTCGAGAGCCCCACGAACCCCACGCTGAAGGTGATCGACATCAAAGCCTGCGCAGACGTGGCACACAAGTACAAGGATGTGCTGGTGGCCGTGGACAACAGCTTGATGTCTCCATATTTCCAGGTGTGTGGGAAAAGGACAGGGCTGTCACCTGTCCCAGTGGGGCTGGAGATCCCTGTTGGGAAGGGAAGTGCTGCCAAGGAATTGCAGTTTTGGTCTCTGCATGGTAAAATCAGCTGCTCTGGTTCAGCCCCAGCCCAGGTGCTGCTGTGGGTGCACCAGTGAAGGGGGCAGGGGTGTCTGTCCTTCAGGAATGATGGAATTCTGTTCTTCCTGATGGAAATCAGAACAGTTAAAAAGTGTTCCCTCACTTTGGCCTTTTTACATCAATTCTTCTGTAGATGCTGTTCATGGGCTGTTCTGAGCCACAAAGCTAAAAATCAGTAGGTAGTGGAAGAAAAACTTAAACCAAGCAATCTTTGTCCAGTCTTTCCTGGAAACATCCAGGTGACCTTTTTCTTCAACATTTTGCTGAATGTATGACTCAGAAGTTTACAACTTTCTTCATAACAACTACCAGAACTTTTCTGTATTGATAACTGGAAGCCAAGAAGTGGGTTTCTTTAAGTTTTACAAATGCTTCAGAATAACAAACTTTGAAGCATTGTTGATCTTACTGTGGGCTAGAATCTGCCTGCTTTGTTCCATTTTAACAGTGATGGTCCTCGCTCTTTAGAATGTGTTGATACCATGGGCAAGGTGCCTTAATTAATGATCAGTTAAAAATCTGGAACTGCTCAGCACCTCTTGCTCATCCACCTCCTGGTTTGTCTCACTTCAGGAGGCTCCTGGGCAGAGGGCTGGGAGCTGAGGGGAGAGAGGGCTGCCAAAGGAGCCTCCTTTCCTCGTGTTCTCAGCTCCCCCAGGGCAGGATCTGCAACACCTGGAAAGCAAAGCAGTTCTTTTGCTTTGCAGTTTGAGCCCTTCCTTTCCCAGGGAATGCCCTCTGTGGGTCAGTGCCAGGATTTGTCCCTGCCTCAGCTCAGCAGTAGAACCATTTTTTCCCAGCTCTGCAGTGTCTGTTGGATGTGCTCAGTCTCTTCTCTCCCTGGAGCCTGTGGGAGCTGGAGCAGTGCTTTTAAATCACATTTTCAGAGTGCCTCCCTGTACTGCTGCTTTTAGCACATGTTCTGTTGCCATTCTCAGGTTTTTGTGTTTGTTTCTCCATTCGTTTTTCCTGTGTGAGCTCAGAGCCCTTTGGAAAGGCAGGGAATGAACCTGAGTGCAGCCAAACTTGAATTATGTTGTTATTTTCCTTTCCTTTCAGCGTCCTTTGTCCCTGGGGGCTGATATTTGTATGTCTTCTGCAACCAAATACATGAATGGTGAGTCTGAGAGTTCAGCACATCCTTAGGGCAGGGATGGAGGGAGATTGGGAAGGAATTCCTGGCTGGGAGGGTGGGGATGCCCCTGGAGCAGCCTGGGATGGTGGGAGGTGTCCCAGGGGTTTTATTTACACTTGGGGCTTGTGGCAGGAGCCTGGAGTGGCTGATCCCATTCCTGTCCCCTGTCATTTGTAGGGCACTGCGATGTCCTCATGGGCCTGGTCTCTGTAAACCGGGATGATCTCTATGAGAGCCTCAAACACCTGCAGTCTCGTAAGTGCAGACAGGGAATTCCTGACAGGAATCCTGTTCACATCCACAGCTCCTGCTGGGAAGGGTGGGCACGCACACAAGTGGGAAATCTGCCTGGGAATGTGACTTTAATGGGCAGAACTGAAAAAGTTCAATTTAAAAAAAACCACTTCGATAAGTACAACTCAAAGTGGAGAAGAATGACAATAAAATGAGGGACATTGATCTCCACTTCCTAAGCACTTCAGGAGAGCACTGGAGCCCATCCTGAACCCACTGATGTTCCCCCCGTGGTTTGGGGGGTTTGGAACTCCCTCACCCATCATGATGGGCCCAATGCAGAATTTTCTTATCTCTGATGATTCCAGCGATTTTCCAGCCTCTTCATTGTCAGGAATAAATTCCTGCCCATGGCTCTGCCCTCTGCAGTGAAGGTGCATTGTGCCCAATAAATGCAATCCTTGAGGTCTGAGCCTGTTAATTGGCCTCATTAATTGGCTCCCCAGTGTGGGAGATGAGGAACAGAGATTGCCTTGGGTGTCTTCCCACGTGTTCCAACCTCAGAAATGCTGGAGATGAGGATGTGTTCGGCTTTGCTGAATGCAGAACACCAATGCTGCTGTGGGATTCTGTGGAATTTGTGGAATTTTCTGGAATTCTGTTCCCATTCCCTCCTAGGCCTGGGAGCTGTCCCCTCCCCTTTTGACTGCTTCCTCTGCAACCGGGGGCTCAAGACTCTGCACATCCGGATGAAGCTGCACTTCAAGAACGGCCTGGCTGTGGCCAAATTCCTGGAATCCCACCCCCGGGTGGAGAAGGTCCTTTACCCAGGTGGGTGGGCAGGGAGTTGGGAGCTGTGGTGCCCCGTGACTGGGGCTGGGTGCCCAGCTCTGCACTGGAATTCACTGGGAATTCTCCCAACTCTCCCCATTCCAGGGCTGCCTTTCCACCCTCAGCACGAGGTGATGAAGAAGCAGTGCACGGGTTTTTCTGGGATGGTCAGCTTCTACATCAAAGGGACCATCGACAATGCCTTTGCCTTTCTCGGGAACCTGAAGGTAAAATAAAGACAATAAAGTCACCCTCAGAGGGAGCTGTAATTGCCCTGCTGAGGGGAGGGTGAAGTGCCTTTTCTTGCCAAGTCCGTTGGCTGTGTCCCACTCCAAATCAGGGATAATTAATCCATGGGGTTAATGAGAGGGACCAAAGGGGCGCCTCAGCCCCTTGGAAGTGTTTGTTTGTTTGCTCCCAGGTGAGGCGTGTCCAGCTGAGCCCAGGAGCTGCTGCTGGCAAAGGGCTTCCTGCAGGGCTGGGGAGCTGGGGCAGCTCTGCTGGAACAGTGCAGAGTG